AAAGGATTAATAATTTGATTTGGATATTTTGGATAAGTAGTGATGGTTGACTTACTTACCCAATTTGTCCGTATTGCTGATGGACAACTGGTATTCCGGAACCTAAAATTCTCGTAACATATTGTAGAATTTACAAATTTGCTTATAACAACATACCTCCATTATATCCACCAGCTACAGCATACCCTCCACTGTTCTTAATGGGACCAACAGGTCTAAGAATATAGCCGGAGATTTGACCAGGTGGATAGGAGGAATAATAAGACCCGGAAGGATAGGATGAAGATGCATAAGATGACTGATATCCATTATATCCGCTGTATCCATACGCTGCTCGTCCTCCGTAACCATATGAGCTGGATCCACATGGGCACGTGCTAAATTTAACGCTTTTAAATGAATAAAGTTAATTATTAATCGAAATGAAGGATTCCTAATTTAAGGTTCTTTTTAATTAGAGTCAATGGCAAATGTTAGCATGAATCGCGGTTTCGGTGTAGGATTTTAAAACCAGTAGCAGATCTCCACACAATGTACTTATACGATATAATAGAACTACCGTAGGTCCATGTACTACATATCTAAAAGAGTCTGAGCAAAGCAAGCTGGAATTCAAATGATTAAACTGTATTCGCAAAACTTTCCCGTTGTCATTGCCTCCCGCGTTCAGGATGTATTTAACTTTTTTTGACCTAATTACTTTATGTGCAAAGTCCAGTATATTTAATAATGAGGCCTTATAGTGCCAAAATTATGAGAATTTGCAATGATTCTTCTTTGCTAAGAAAGTTTATCCTTTTTTGTAAGTTAGGAATCACAAGGTGCTTAAGCCTCAATTCTGCCTCATTAAAATATACAATAATCTGTGCGCTCAATTTATTGACAAATTCCATATAACGAAATGTGAACAAACCTGCATCCACATCCAAAATTCAAGGCGTTTGTCAAGGACAGTAAAGAAAGCAGGCAGAATACAAAAAACATAACCTAAACCTTAGGATTTACAACAAAAAAA